GGAGGAGCGCGCGGTCGGGCCCCGCCGTAACGGTTACCGCCGGGCGCTGCGGACGGTGTCCTGTGGCGGCCTCGCGGGCCTTGGCGTCCGGGCTGTGGCACTGCTCGGGGACTGCCCCGTGCCCCCGTCGCCAACGTCAGGCGTGGGGCCGAGCCCGCCGCCCGCCCCTCGCCCCCCAGCATGCGCACCTCGTACACGGTGACCCTGCCCGAGGAGCCCCCCGCCGCCCCCTTTCCCGCCCTCGCCAAGGAGTTGCGGCCGCGCTCCCCTCTCTCCCCGTCCCTGCTGCTCTCTACCTTCGTGGGGCTCCTGCTCAACAAAGCCAAGGTACGCGGGCCCTTTTCTGGGACCCCCACGCCGAGGGCCGGGGTCCCGCCTCTTCCCCGGGACTGCCCCCGCCCGCCACGCGCCCCGCGGCGGAGGCACGAATTCTTCCCAGCCCCCACCCCTCTTTCCCCGGGGTCTCCCAGCAGAGAATGCCCCCTCCCCAGGTGATCGCACGCTTCCTCGAAGGCCCCAGCCCCTGAGTCCCCCTCCCTCCTTCCCTCACTCCCGGTGACCGGGGCACCAGGTGCCTCTTGACCTCGTAATTCCGGGCACCTATCGGGACAGGTGCAGCAAAGGGTAACCTTGACTAGGGCTTCGGTGTGTGTGCGGGAAGGGGCAGCAGCTGGACTGTGGGCTGACTCCTCCAAGGCCAAGCCCCCCCCCCAGGAAGGCTGGTCCGAAGGGGGCTGCCTCCCCTCCTCCGCCCCCACAGGGCTCTCTCCCAAGGGTCGGTGGCCGGGGTCCTTTGACCCTGTGAAGGGCAGAGTCGCCACTTGCCTTCTGGGTGGCTGAAGCGAGCAGTGGGTCCCTCAAATGGAGCAGCCACCCAGAGGAACGCTGGGCACTGCCCCCTTGGGAAAGGGAGAAGGGGCCCTGGCTTGACAGGTCTTATGTAACAGGCGCCAGCTCCCGTGCTGGCAGTGTGTGCCCTTCCCCGTGCAGGGCCACACCGGGCTCCTTGGCTGACGCTTACCATGCAGGTGAAGGAAGCAGGAAAGTTCCCGGCTGGGTCTCCACACAGACCTGCTGGCCCGGCATCCGGGCATATTGCCCCCACCCCCACCCCCACCTGAGCCTGCCAGGGGAGGGCTTTGCTGAGCCGCGGCTCCTGTGCAGGAAGGGCACTGCTGTCCTGGGGGTGGCACCTGCTCTCCAGAGCAGTGCTTGCTGAGTGAGTGCAAGGAAGCCGGTGCAAACTTTCCCAACTCTGTGCAGCCGCGTCCCTGGGGAGCCGCTGATGCCTGGCCACCCCAGGAGCCGGGCTGCCCAGGGGCTCCTGACCCACCCCTCCAGTTCTAGCCTGCCTCTCCCTTTCAGCCTGAGGTAGGGTTGTGTGCCCCGGAAGAAAGGTCGCTCTGGAGTGGGAAGCGCTGACTCTCCCTGCAGCCCCGGACTCCCTCTTCATGGCAGAAGAACGTGTGGCCAGGCCGGAGCTGGGCTGCTCTCCCCGCCACTCCCGCCCTGGCTCCCGTTATCCACCCACCTTCCGCACAGAGCCTGGGAAAGTGGCCAGTGGTTTTTATACAAAGGCACGACCAAAGAGAAAAAAAAAAACTGAGGGTCCCACTCCGCCTAGGCCAGCAGGAGGGCTAGATCCTCAAGACTGGTAGCCATGGGTGACAGAATGTTCCTCGCGCCCCACACCATGTCGGGGCAGAGTCAGCAGTGCCCCTGTAGACAGATGACTGCCCGTCGGCTGCCCTGCCCCCGCTGGTCTCAGCCCAGGGCCTGCTTTGTGGACATGCACAGCCTATTGGGACGGACGCCACCTGAGACACAGTGGGTACAAACTAATAAAGCCTGCCAAAAATAGGTGCAAGACTGGGTACAGTGCTGGGGCAGCAGGGAGACTTCACAGCGGCTTTTGCTTGGGGGTTCGGCATGGGGTGGGGGTGCTTGATCAATTCTGCCCGAAAATGCTGGCAAGCTCCTTGTCCCCCTGCCGGAACACCAGGGTCTGGGTGCCAGGACTGTGAGGTTCCAATGTGTGGGGGGCCGTGCGCTGTGAGCCCCCAGCACGGCTCTGCAAGGATGCCTGTCCCCCACCTGTGAACCAGGTCTCTCTTCTGGGGGCATTGTCTTCCCTACCTGGTAGCGTTAGGCCTGAGAGCTGGCCAGGGGAGGGATCCTCTTGTGGGATCGGCAATGTAATTCTTGAGAAAAGCCCTCCTTCAGCCTCCACCGCCCCCCCCCCGCCCCGCCCCGCCCCGCCGACAATCTCATGGGCTGTCAGCACACGGCGTGAGTAATTTTAGCTGAGTTATTTCAGGCTCCTGTTCTGATCAGGGTTGAGCCGGCCCCACGCATGCCCTAGCCAGTGTTGCTCCGGAGTTGCCTGCTCCAGGTCCCCTCCCCGAAAGAGGGGGTGGCAGACCCAACTGCAGATTGTTTCTTTAACCCTTGGGGCCTGAAGGTGCTCTGATCCCTGGGAGGTCTGTCCCGGATTAGCCAGGGCCTCTTCCTGAGCAATGCTGGAAGTCCAGGACCTAGCACCTCCTCTCTCAGCAGCCTCCACAGTAGGGAGCAGAGAGAGCACCTCTGTCCCCAGGATTCCCAGCCCCTGGCCAGCCAGGATGTTGAAACCGGAGCCAGGCAGGGAGGAGTCTCCCAGCCTCTCACCAGCCCCTAGGAGCTGAGCTCAGCTGGGAGGGATTCCACCTATCTGTGGCAGGCAGGCACACTTAGTTTTTCCCAGCTGAAGTCAGGATGTTTTGTCATTGAACTTGCTGAAGCCCCCTCGAGGTGCCTGTGATGACAGTGGCTTCGTCTAGTGGACATCTAGGGACACAAATGGAGGTCACTTGAGATAGTGCCTGAATTTCGGAGTTGAAATTCCTCACAGCCAAGAGTCAAACAGATGCCTGGGTTAGGACTCCCCGGGCACCTGTTCTGCTCTGGGGTCGCCCAGCAGTAGAGGCTGGGAAGTGCTCCCGTGTGGTCCAAACAGCACAGCCCTGGGGGGTATTTTCACTGTCTGGACAGCGTCACAGTCCCAGCCCTTTCCCTCCTGAGTGAGACTCCTACCGTGGCCTGCTCATGGCTCCCCCGAGCAGCAAGCTGCAGGCCCACCTCTGCATCAGCCTCACATACGCCATGTGGTCTTTGTTTACAGAATTCTAAGAGCGCCCAGGGTCTGGCTGGTCTCCGAAACCTTGGGAACACGGTGAGTGCTTCCCAGCCCACTTCTTTCCGGCCTCGTCCTGCCATCCTGATGGGGACGCCCTACTCAGAGTCCTCTCCTCACTCCAGCTGACTCCATGCCCCCTAGGCAGTCGGTGCCTGCCCTTTCCTGGCTGGTGTTTCCCAGAATTGCTGGGCGGAGCCTGGCCAGCCCCCAGCAGGAAGCACTGGTAAAAGGGAGTTGCCCTTGACTGTCAGCTTGCCATTCTGAATCCTTCTCAGGGACACATCCCTCGCACCCAGCACAGCCACGCCCTTCCGCACATCTCGGGTGCGTGACCGGGTTCAGCCCTGGAACTGAGGCTGTGAGAGGCTTCCGTTCTGGGTGGACGGCTCTGAGTCCCGGGGGCCGGGTGGGGGTCTCATCCCCGCGCTCAGCCTCTGGTCGGGCTCTTGCAGTGCTTCATGAACTCGATTCTTCAGTGCCTGAGCAACACCCGGGAGCTGAGAGATTACTGCCTGCAGCGGCTCTACATGCGGGACCTCAGCCACAGCAGCAATGCGCACACCGCCCTCATGGAAGGTGAGGACCCTGTGCCCGGGCCCCGCTTCCCGGCTGCTGGCTGCTGCCCCGCGAGCAGTGCCAGGGCCAAGTTTCGGGCATGCCTCTCCCTCCTGCCGTTCTCGGCCTGCTCCCTGTGGGGACCCTCGTTCCACAGTTTCTTACGGGAGGTCTCTCCCCTGTCCTCCACACCCCGTCTCTGCCTCTCCCTCCCATAGAGTTTGCAAAGCTAATCCAGACCATATGGACTTCGTCCCCCAATGACGTGGTGAGCCCCTCTGAGTTCAAGACCCAGATCCAGAGATACGCACCGCGCTTCGTCGGCTATAAGTAAGGCGTCCTCCCAGGGCGGGTGGCGGCACCCTGGGTTCCTGAGCCGCTGGCCTCGCTCACTGTCCTGCGCGGCTTCAGTCAGCAGGACGCCCAAGAGTTTCTGCGCTTCCTTCTGGATGGGCTGCACAACGAGGTGAACCGAGTCACGGCGAGGCCCAAGTCCAACCCGGAGAACCTCGACCACCTTCCGTAAGTAAGAGGAAGACACTGTGGGTAGCGAAACTTTGGGAACTTGAGGATTTTCCCTATTTTTCGGGGGTAATGATTTGGGAAGAATCAGGCTCACTTACGAAAATGAAAGACCCAGATTGGTAGACCCTTAAACGCGACGTGGTGTGAGCTCTGACTCACGGCCTTTCCTCTCTGGTGCCCAGGGACGATGAGAAGGGGCGGCAGATGTGGAGGAAGTACCTGGAACGGGAAGACAGTCGGATTGGGGGTAAGTGTGCGCGTGGGAAGAGGGCCATCTCGCCCCGAGCTGCCCTGGGATGGGGCTCCCAGGGGACCCTTGTGTGCCCAGTGTCGTTCAGGCTGGGGTAGGGGCTGTGGGAGAGAAGACGCCTCCCTGTGGCTCAGCCCCTCCTGGCCATCTCTCCCCCAGATCTCTTTGTTGGACAGCTGAAGAGCTCCCTGACCTGCACAGACTGTGGCTACTGTTCTACAGTCTTCGACCCCTTCTGGGACCTGTCCCTGCCCATCGCGAAGGTACGCACCCCCGCCGCCCCGCTGCCACCCCCGCGCCTGCGCCTGTACCCACAGCCACTGACCTCCAACCTGGCCTTTCTCCCCTAGCGAGGTTATCCCGAGGTGACGTTAATGGACTGCATGAGGCTCTTTACCAAAGAGGACGTGCTCGATGGCGAGGAGAAGCCGGTAGGTCCCCCTCGGCTGCAGCAGGAACACACCGCCCTGAGGCTGCTGCGGGAGGGTGCGGGTGCCAGCAGATTCAACCGAGGACCAACTGGATGCCAGCTGGGTTTTTTTTTTTTAAGACTTGTTTATTTGACAGAAAGAGAGAGAAGAGGGAGAGACACATCTTCCATCAGCTGGTTCACTGCCCAAATGCCCACAGCAGCCAGGGCTGGGGCCAGGCCAAAGCTAGGAGCCAGGAACTCCATCTGGGTCTCCCACATGGGTGGCAAGGGCCCAGGTACTTGAGCCACCACCTCCTGCCTTCCCAGGCACATTGGTAGGGAGTTGGATGGGAAGTGGAGCAGCCAGAACGAGAACCCGTGTTCCAATATGGGATGCTGGTCGCAGGCCGTGGCTTGACGCCCTGCGCCACAGTGCCAGCCCTGGGTTTGGGCTGTTGACTCCTCCCACAGGTTCCTTCCAGCGTGGTCTGTCTTGTCTTTCAGACATGCTGTCGCTGCCGGGCCAGAAAACGGTGTATAAAGAAGTTCTCCATCCAGAGGTTCCCAAAGATCTTGGTGCTCCGTATCCTTAGATGCATCAGGGTGGGGCTTGACCCTGGCGGGAGACGAGTGACTCCGGGCCAGTGCGCAGGGCGGAGAGCAGGGAGAAGCCAGGCCGTCTGCTCCCCGCAGAGGGGGCCGTTGCCCATTTCGCACCTGCTCTGCTTTCTGGGCCGTCCTCGCTTGGCTGTCTGCCCTTGACTCGAGGCAACACCAGATCTGAAGCGGTTCTCAGAATCCAGGATACGAACCAGCAAGCTCACAACATTTGTGAACTTCCCACTGAGAGACCTGGACTTGCGAGAATTTGCCTCAGAAAACACCAGTGAGTAACTCAGAGCACAGGAGGCCGGGAGGGGGCTGGGTGGGGCCGAGGAACGGCCCTGGGGCTTGACACCCTGCGTGTCCTCCTCAGACCACGCTGTTTACAACCTGTACGCTGTGTCCAATCACTCCGGAACCACCATGGGCGGCCATTACACCGCCTACTGCCGGAGTCCCGCGACGGGCGAGTGGCACACTTTCAACGACTCCAGGTGAGAGCGGTCCCGTGTGGGCGGGGCTCCCAGCTCCGGCACCCACACCTCGCTTATCGGCTTGGCCTCCACTTTGAGTGGACCCAAAACTTCTGAGCCCAGAAGCTCTGGAGCAGCCCTGAGTCCGGTGCCTGGGAGCAGGGGAGAGAGGCTGGAGGGGGTGCCTCGCACGCCCCCAGCCCCTCGGCTCTGGGCCTCCCCTGCCGGGCCCCTGACAGAGCCTTGCTCTCTCTGCAGTGTCACAGCCATGTCCTCCAGCCAAGTGCGCACCAGCGACGCCTATCTGCTCTTCTACGAGTTGGCCAGTCCACCTTCCCGTATGTAGCAGCGGGGAGCTGCGTCCCTCTCCCTTCCCTGTGGCGGCCCACACCCTAAGTTTTTTAAAAAGACAAAAAAAAAAACAAAACAAAACAAAAGCAAACAACAAAAAAACAAACTTGACAAATAAGAGAAAAAAACTACAATAAACTGCCGAACAGGAGTCGACGCAGCCTGGCCGGGGTCTGGAGCAAGGAGCCGGGTGCTCCTGAGCCGTGGCCCGGCGGGGAAGATGGACTGGACACAGCGCTCCCTCGGCTTCTCTTGTTTGTATTTTTTAAGCTTGTGGTTTTTGTCCTGTGTGTGATAAGCAACGCCCTGTGTGGGGAGAAGATCGCTGGCCACCTGCTGCCCTCTCCAGCCCCCGCGCCTCTGAGAAGACAGCGCCCTCTGGAGCCCGCTGGGAGCATTGCTGCCTGGAACGGACAAGCCCTGCGCCCCTCTCGGCCCGGACCTGCGCACTGGTCCAGAGCAGAAAACACCCGTGAATGAGCCAAGAGCCCTCTTAACGCTGCTAACTCCAGGGGGACAGACGAGGAAACGTCTTTCAGAAAAGCAGTTTTTAGTTTTTTTAAAGTCCAGCTTTTTTTTTAATGACCCTAACTGATGTTTCAGCCTGGAGATGTCTCCTTTACACCTGCCCCACTGGGGTGCTGTACTGGCCCGCCTTTTTTTTTTTCTGCCGCTTTGGTAATTCTTAAAGTACAACTTCTCTAATACTAGCCCCCGTGGTGCTAGGTTGGTGTTGGCCAGGCCCCAAGCATAGCCACGGTAGACTTGGGATCTAAACAAGTTTTGGTCATTGTTGTTGGTTTTTTTCTTTTTTCTCTCTTTTTTTTTTAATGTTCTGGATGGAATGTAGTTGCCTCCAAGAATTGTGCCTTATAGCATTTGGGGACCAGGAGATGACCGCCCCTCCCTGAGAGCTCCCTCCTCCTCTTCATCCTCCCCAGCGCCACGCTTAGACCCGCCCGTGCAGAGGGGTCGTGCCCTCTGCCCCTGACGTTGCTGTGCATTGCGGGGTGACAAGGAGGAAGCGGGTGGAGGGAGGTTTCCTGTGATAGTGCATCAAGGTTTTCCTGCCCACACCCTCCGGCCCAGCCCGCGTCTACTCCCCAGCTCTTTGGAGGATAGCACAAACCCCTGTCCCTTAAGCTGCTCTCGCCTTTTAATTTATTCTCAGTGATGTCCATGCCCCTCCCTCCCGCCTCCTGCACCCGCCCTTCTCAGAGCCTCCTAGACAGAGGCCCTATGGACGAGTTTCTCAGGGACGCCCACGCTGCCCCTTAGCTCCTCTGCCTGGGGGCTGGAGCCTGGCTGACTGGGATTCTTCCCCCGGGGGCTTGATGTTGCCCTGCGGTCCTGGGTGGAACTCTGTGCTGTCCCAGAGAACAAAGCGGTTCCGCACCGAGTGTAGAGGTCCGAGCGCCTGGCACAGGCCCGCTGCTGGGCCCAGCCTGTGTCCCTTGCTGCCGGGGGCATCCCAGGAGGAGGCACCTGAGAAAGACGCCCTGAGTTTAACTGGCCTGACCCTCTCCAGGGAAGACCTGGGAACCTGAGCCCGAGGGCTGGTGTACCTTGTTTACTATGTAAGCAAGAGCAGAATGTCTCTGTACAGTGGAACCTTGTACAGAATAAATGATAGCTTTGAGAAATAAGGTGAATATGACAGAAGCTTGATTCGGGAGGGGTTTAAACCCAGGAAGGGCTCCTGGCATATTAATGGCCACATATGAGGGCGGTTCAAAAAACCTGTGGGAAAATGGAACTGCAAGAAATTTAGGGACAGGCGCTTGGCCTGGCAGTTAAGGCCCATTTAGGACACTCGCGCCCCACATCTGAGTACCTGGGTCTGAGTGCCAGCTCTGGCTCCTGATTGTGTTGCAGGACGATAAAGACGACCTCGTTTCTTGTCTTACGTCGAAGAATTTCTTTGTGGACAGGGACAGTGAGCAAAGCAAAATCTATTCAAAGAAATGAGCTGCAGCAGTCAGGAGAGGAACTCCAAGAGAGGAGTGGCCACTGCTGGTTCTTTTATACAGAGAGTGACTCTCTGATTGGCCCCTTTCTGATAAGTGAGTAGAGCTTTAGCCACTCAGAGGATGGGCACAATACAACCAATCCGGGAACAGAATGTGTGCTGATGGGACATGCCACATCAGTGCCAGGTGCTGAGTGTGTGCTGATGGGACGTGCCACGTGAGTGCTGGGAGCTGACACAGCAGTAGCCTGTGGTGCACAGAAGTGTGTGGAGCTCAGGGCCGGTTTACAGCCTCCGTGAGATGCAGGCGGCAGTCAAGGCTCCTGGAGGGTAAATGACACGACCTGGGCTCCTGGGGTCCCTCTCAGGTGCAGCTTCTTACCAAGGCGGACCCTGGGACACAGTGGTAAAGGCTCCAGTGATTGGGCTCCTGGCCTGCCCTGGCAGGTGTGGACTGAGTTCTTAGCTCCCAGCGTCAGCCCTGGAAGTTGTGGGCATTTGGGGAGTGAGCCAGGGGAGACTTGTTTCTCTTCCTCTCTGCTTAAAAAAGGGGGTATCTGCATTTTTTAAAAGAAGTTTATTTTATTTAAAAACATTTGAAACCGACACAGTTTTCTTATTTGCCTTGAATTTTTAAGTACCCTCCTATTTCATAGCTTCAAGCAGTTGTAAACCAAGTCCTAGAGAAAATGAACTCTACCCGCTTCTTAAACTTCTCAGTTCTCTAAGAAAGCTAAAATAGGACACAGTTTTCTTCAACTGGATTCCCCAACATCCAACTGTTTGCCACATTCGTTTATAGATACTTTATTTTGGAGGGGGGGGTGCAAAACATTTAGGGGTGCAATGTGACATCACCACTTTTAAATACCCCAGCAGAGAGAGTGAGGACCCGAGTGAGGATGGGGTTCGCACACCTGGGAAAGTGATCGAGCACAGCACTTGGGCTGCTCTGCGGCCTCTCGGCTGGTGGGAGGCCTCTCACGGCTTGCTGTGAGTGTGAACAGGTCTCCAGCAGGGGTCAGAGGGCCGTCACCTGCCACCTGCATGGCCTGTGGGAGGAGTGGCCGCCAGAGCAGAGCCGGGAGCCCAGCCGGCCCCTGAGAAGGGAAAGCTGTTTTCTGTAAACCGTGCAAACAGCTGCCTGCTTGTTCAAGGCTTTGCTCCCCGCAGTGCTTTTGTTTGTTTGTTTTTCCAAGACTCAAGATTTAATCCCTTTGGGACACTCAAGGACATTGTGTCTTTGGGATTTATCTCTTAATCCTTAGTACTGTTCAGCTTTTCCCTTGCTGCCGCTGATCCTAGAACTGGGGAAGCTGACGTCTCCCCTCGCTGACCCCAAGGGTGTTTACGTGGAGGGGCTGCCTGCCGGCCCTGCTGCTGACACTGAAAAACCCAGGCCTGGCTCGGCTGTCCTGGCTCGCACGGAGGCACCTGCCGTCGCTGGAGGCCTATGGCAGGCCCACCGCAAGACAGGGACAGGAGTGGGGACATATTTCTGGGCAGTTCTCAACAGTGTCAAAGACGGTTTGAAGACAACAGAAACCCTGGAATGTCTCCCTGGGGAGCTTCTACAGCCCAGTGAAATAGATTTTTTTTTCTTTTAAAGATTTATGTATTTGAAAGGCAGAGTGATGGAGCAGGAGAGTCGGAGAGACAGCTCTTTTAGCCTCTGGGTCACTCCGCAGATGGCCAGAGCGGAGCCAAAGCTGAAGCCAGGAGCCTGGAACTCCAGCCAGGCCTCCTACATGTGGGGCCATCATCTGCTGTTTTCCCAGGCACATTAGCAGGGAGCCGATGGGAAGCAGAGCAGCCAGGACTCAAACTGGTGCTCTGATATGGGCGGCTGGAGTGGCAGGTGTGGTCTAACCTGCTGGGCACCACCCCTCCCCACCCCCAAGAGTAAGATCTTAAATGTTGATATTTTCCCCAAGCCGCAGGTAAGCAGGATCTCTTCAAAATGGCTTGCAGTGAAGTGGAGTGAGCCCCAAAAGCATGCAGCTTGCTCTGCCTCTTGGTGGACTGGTTTTACACTGGTTGCAACAGATTAGCCATGGGCAAACCAAGGGCAGGGGCCTGACTCCAGCCCCCAACCCTGCTCCCAGCCCTCCCTGCAACCTGTGGCACTTTCTCATCCAGTTGGCAACAGGCCCCAAACAGCTGTGTCCCCATATTTCTTGGTCCAGCAAGCTCCTAGCAACTGGGATTTCTTCCCATCTGCAGGCCTCCCAGCAGGCCTCTCACTAGGGAAGGTGCTCTCCCTGTGGCTGCCCTTCTGTGACCTTGAACAAGAACCTCCCTCTTTGGGGCTTTAGTGCCTCCTCTGTGAATCAGGGAGACTGGGCTTGAGGAGCTGGAAGGGTCTCTGACTTAGCTCCCAGCCTAAGTCACTTTTTCTCTACTTATATGTCCAAGACCCCGATTAGGGGACTTAATGTGTCTGTGGCTGCCTGCTTGCAGCTTCGTGGAGTTCATTTAAGTACTCAGTGCTCGGAAAAGGCTTGTTTCTCTCCCTGAAGCTTTAGTCAGGGTCATGGAGGCCACCCGGTCCACGGCCCCGCTTAGGCAGTGAGGATGCCTGGGCAAGGCTCGCTCGGGCCAAGGGTGGAGCCAGGTACCTTCCCACCTGAGTGCTCTGCCTTCTGGGTGTACAGATTTCCCCACCCCGCGCCTACCAGGAACGGGGCTGCACAGCGCCACCCACCTCACTGAGCCGCGGCCTGTGAGGGGCCCACCTTCAACATGTGCACCAACAGGCACCTGCACAGGATGCAGGCCGCAGTGGGCAGCGACTGGCAGCAATCAGCCGGGCTAATGACTCAACACCTCTGAGCCCCAGGGCCCTCATCTGTGACCTGAGCACCAAGGGCACTTGGAGTTGTGGGAGCAATGCTGTGGTGTAACAGGTAAAGCCGCCTCCTGCAGTGCCGGCATCCCATATGGACACCAGTTCAAGTCCCAGCTGCTCCACTTCCGATCCAGCTCTCTGCTGTGGCCTGGGAAAGAAGTGGAAGATGGCCTGAGTACTTGGGCCCCTGCACCCATGTGGGAGACCTGGAAGAAGCTCCTGGCTTCGGCTCAGCACAGCCAATTGCAGCCAATTCGGGAATGAACCAGTGGTTGGAAGACCTCTCTGTCTGCCTCTCCTCTCTCTGTGTAACTCTGACTT